AATAGCTTGCAATTATTATTTTTTGCATAATCCTCAAAATTTTTACTCAAACTATTAGTAAGTATTGTATTTTTATGTATTACAAGTATTGTGTATATTTTAATTTGCTTGTAGGCTATTGTTTTTCACAATCGATAAGGGCGCTTCCACATTGTTACACTTTTACAATCTAGACTGCTTTAATTGCTATTATATTTGAAAATTAAACGCGTAAAATAGAGATTATACACGCTGTCGTGACAATTTTGCAAGCAATGTTAAATTTCGCTCTATTGTTTGCGCTTTCCCTTGTTTGTTGAGATATAATTACGATGTGGGCTGATTAAATAATTAAATGTAACGAACGATTGGATTCTTATTAGTTTAAAGATACAGCAGAACATCGACTATCTGGATCTATCGTTGATTAGGGTTGTCCAAATATAATCGATCATCCGAATAATCGACAAAGGCTATCGTTGTCGTATAGGTGTACGAAAAGTTTAACTTTAACTTCTCGTTTTATTTATGTAAACGAAAAGGTCGGCAACTTTCCAAAATTTATATAACTAACTAGATAAAATCTACTTAGAAAATTGCTATCTACATTTTAATCCATTTAAATTTTTGATTAAACACGAAAAGACATGTATAAAGTATAAGTACATATAACTAGCTGAACCTCTTCCAATTTGGACAGATACTATTGTCAATGGATATTAAATTCGTAATTACTATTAACTATTTCAATTAATAGAAGTAGAAGTTCTAATACACACGAGAGTTACGTTAATTTATGTTTATAACTGAGCTATTATCTAAAAACTTTTGTTTAATGACTTTTGCAAAAGAAAGAAGACCGAGTAATTAAATTAAAAACTCTTTTTAATAATGAGTGATTAGATATAACGCAGATTAACAAGAAGAAACGTTTAACTTTTATGTTAAATTAGTTTAGAACAATTGTGTTCATATTACGCTTTCTAACTAAAGTTCTAATAGAGAAAAAGAATTAATAACAAATCATCAAACATCTGTATGGTAAGTATATATAGAAAAGTAAAATTTACTTTTCAATTGTGTCGAGGAGTAGTGAAAACTTCTAACAAATAATAATAATTACAACCCCTATAGTTACGAAGAAAACTATTTTATAAACTATTTTGTCGCTGTATTTCAGTATTAAAAGTCGTAAATATTTGTTTTGTATATTGTAATGAGAAAGAAGCTTTTTAAAAACGGTTCGCGGTACCCAAAGAAAAGTGATAATGGTGAGTTAAGTATAATCGTATGATATTTTTTGAGATTATCGTAGTAACTTTGCGTTTTTCAGAATAAAATAAAAACTAGATACTACATTGCTAAAGCTATACCTCGCTTTAATAAATCGAATTAAACATTTAAAAAAACTTTGTTTATTGCATGTGAATTATAACAACAGATAATTGACTTTTCGGTACACCTACTTAAAGTATATTTTATGATCGATTTTCACTTCTTTTCCTTTACTTGGCGGTTGGTTCTTTAAGGTATGAAGGGGATTCTTTACTGACTAATGCTTACATATTAATATACTACAATCGATTAAAAATACAATAAATGAATAATGTTCAGGTAGGTTTTAGCCTTGTAAGGGGTCGTATCAGGCAATATCCTGTGCTAACTGTTAGTACTGCAGAATAAAGCGGCACCTCCAAAACTAATTAGCGGTGATATTTGTTATTGAGATTAAGAACGAATAAACGTTTAATTTGCTCTTAAATTTTGTATTTAACTTACATCTACTGTCCACTTTAATTTACACTATGGACTATGTACTTCGAACTTGTCTATTTGAAACTATCTTAGCTGTCTCTGCATTATGTGATCTGTCTTTGAATTATATGATCTCTCTTTGCATGTTCTGAACTGTGTCTGCAGTACATGATTTCTTTTCAATATGATCTGTCTTTGAAAACGAAAAACTGCAACTTAAATTAACTTGAATATATAAATAAAGGGGGTTGAGTGTAAGAGTCCCTTCCTAAATATTACGAATGACAAGCTTCATCGGTTATTACAAATGGGGGTGGTTCTGGTAACCACAATTGTCTAAAACTTCACCATCTGATCTATTTCCAGGTGAAAGTTTGAAACGCTTTAAGTCCTCGATGGACCTGCACATCACAATACATGACTTTATGACAGCTTTCTTGCTTTCAACCCTGACCAATTTGTGTACACATTTAATTTTGAGATTTATTACAGTGCCATTCATAATACTATTTTTACGTATACGCCCGAAAGAAACCCTTCTCGAAATCGAAACAAAAGATTTTGATTCTGAAAGAAACTATTATTTAAAAAAAGTAGGTATTAAAGGAAACTGAATTTTAAGTGAAACGAATTAATGAATAGGACTCGAATAAATAAGGAAATGGAAAATTACAGTTACTAAGATTTTACATGCTAACTACGACATAAATTCTTTTAAACGAAAATTTATTTTCTTCCTCATTCTGCATTAAGAAATAGTGAACTAATAAGTAGCTGTTTAGTATTCAACGGAAACCGAACAGCAAAAATTGCCAAACAATTTGCTTAAATGCAATAACTTGACGCAAATATGCAACTGCTTTTTTGAAATCGATCTGAATAAGACTTTTGTAAATGTCCCGTTTATGCGAAAATGCATCTTGCATGTTGATGAACAAGGATTGCAAAGGTGCATGCATTTGATTGCATTCACGCATCACTTTGAATTCTTTTTTTCACTGTAAAGATAACATGTAAGACATTGAACTTTCAGGTAGAAGTAGACAGTTAGTAGAGGGTGTAGTTAGAGAAAGGAGTGTAAAAGAAGCTGGCAGATTGTTCGATATATAGCGGGCAAAAATCCTTTTGAATTCACTCTCACTATTATCACACAGTGCTGTACGACGCTGCTAATTAAGTTCAACATGAAAGTTGCTGCTGTAAGTACATAATCAAGTGCAATTTTTTGTCATAGTTAATTTTCATTTAAAAATTGCTAAAAGTGATTTTAGTGATAACTGTAACAAAGTGAAGTGTTTTATACGCGTAATATTGTTTTCAATGTTTTTAAAGAAAATCCTTATACCAATCGTCAGGACTTAATTGGAAACAGCAAAATTGACGTTTCCTCAAACTTTTGAAACAAATAATAAATGTTTAAATGTGAAATTTAAATAGTTACAGTACAAAAGGTTTATAATAGTTTTTTTAATAGTTTCGAAATAATAAATTTTTTGATAAAATTAGAGACGTCATTACCGTTTTATTTGAAAAATTAAAAAATGTTGAACTTTTTTCTTAGAAGCTTGCTGTTTTGTAGCATTTATGTTTCGTATTTGTTTTTAAATTAATTGTGTTTATTACACATCAATAATTTAAATTAAAGTGTAAATCTGCCATTTCCTTTACTTTTACAGTAGTTTACGTTATAAAATGATTGGGTAATTCAGGTACCTAACAGTATAATAACAGCTGAAGTGTACTAACGGTCTTGTGACAATTATGCCAGATTTAGATCGCGCAGGAAGAATTATTTTTTACATGTACACACATATATATATATATANTACAGCTGCATCGGCCCAAGCAGCCCAACAACCCGCTCATTCTTCGTCGGCGCAACAGTTGCAGGGTGAAGAACCGACGACGTACGAAGCTTTGCTCAGCCAATCGTATCCATGTACATACATGTACACCTGATTATGTCCAATATCTGGTGCAACGGAGAAATTCACTTACATCGTTAGCAATTAATAGTTGAAGTAGAATACATATTAATTTATCGATTTTAATTGCAATTAATTTGTTAAGCAGAGCGGTCATTATTAAAATTATAATTAAAAATTTAACTTTCTCTTCTAGACATAAACCAGAAGAATTAGTGAATAAATAAATACTTAAGCAATTTCTCCTTTAATTTTTTCTGTTGTTTAATTAATATTCGTTTTAAAATGTTAATATGTAATAAGATTTCAAATGGTAACATTTTTTATGCGATTGAACGGGAATTTATGCAAACGAACATATATATTTAACTATGACAATAAATTCACAAGACAGTAGGTATCGATTTCATAATAGAACCATACAAACGGATTGTATTAAGTATACCTACTCGATGGGAGTATATTTACCTTTCCAATCTTATGCAACGGAATGCATTTTGTAACAACTGATTTCACTGAACTACAAGACAATGCAATAATTGTATTACCTTTGCCGATGATTATAAGATTGTTTGTCGCATGTATTGTTGCAAGACCTACTGCAATTATATTCGGACAATTTGTGAACTTATTTGATCTACTATTCGTTAGTAAGGTCTTAAAAGTTATAATAAGAATTTCGATGTTCGTTTAGTAATTATCATAAAAAATAGCAATAATACGATATGAAGTTACATTGAGATATTTAAAGAATAGGGACGTGCAGCTTGCGTCGTTGGATTCTTAAAACTTTTTTCCAAACTATATAAAAAAAACAAACCCTTATTATGAGGTTCTAATACTGTCTGTCAATCTGCGTATGTATCACAGTTCATTAATTCAACAATTTAGAAATTTATCGACTCGAAATTTATAAAAAATTATCGTTCTAAGTATTTAATTCGATGTTCCTTTAGTAATTAGTCCTTGGATTCTTAAAACTTTTTTCCAAACTATATAAAAAAGGTAAATACGAACCCCTATTATGAGGTTCTAATACTGTCTGTCAATCAGCGTATGTACCACAGTTTATTAATTCAACAATTTATAAATCTATCGACTCGAAATTTATCAAAGATGAAGGTTGTGCTAAGTATTTAATTTTTATCTCCGTTAGAACGTTAGATGCTTTTTTTTTAATTATTTTTAACAAAAGGTTTTAACTATTGATTACAGATATTTCACGATTTACTTTAAAAACGTATTTTACCAACCCCCGGCGTACAACTTCTGGTTTTAAAAGCAAAAAAGAAACCCTCGTATCCTCGATCTAATAATTAATTATTGTGTTATTTGTTACAGTTCGTCATTATACTATTATGTGACGTAGTATGGGGCAAGAGGGAGGCCGAATCCTCCCACGAAAGGTATGTACCATCAACGAGACAATCTAGAGGTCAAAGTCCAGGTAGCGCACCACAACAGGCATTAACTCACGAAAGTGGCCAGTCATTCCAATATGCCACTGAAGGGCCACAAGCGGTGAATTATGCCGGAAGCCCTCATCTAGTGTTTCGCAACCCCCTGACATACAGCGGGTCGAATTCTGCCGCGAGCCCCAATGCTGAAGAGCAACTACAGAACTATGCATTTGCAGCAAGTTTTGAAGGAAAAGAAAATGTACAGGCACACAAGGTGAGTGATACATATGTATAATAACGAAAATGGTACTTTAGGGGTGGAATCGTATAAAGAAATATACAGTAAACAACCTAATCAGAGTGGGAAAATTGACAGGACCCAATTTGTTGTGCTATTAATTACCTGGTGAAATAAAAAGAATAGAAAACTGGAATAGGGTTGATATTTAAATTCAATTTTAACTTGTTTGGATACCCGAGATAAAAATGTTCAGTCTTTCAGAGTCTCTGAAAGCGAGACTCGAGTCTCCGTGGAGTCGCTGAGAGAGACTGTCAAAAAAACTGTTTAGCGTCTCTAAACGAGAGACTCGAGTCGCTCATAGAGAGATTCTCATTTCGTATCCAGTCTCTGAATGAGAGACTAGAATCTCTGAACGAGAGATTCGAATCTCTCAATAAGTGGTGTCTCGATAGACATTAGACAAGTTCAACATATTTTAGAGATCCCAGTCTTTCTACGAGAGACTCGAGTCTCTCAATTTTTCAGTTTTATTCATTCAGTCTCTCTGTGAGAGACTCGAATCTCTGAATTAACAATTTTATCGTTCGAGTCTCTCATACAGAGAGTGTGAGAGATCCATAAAAACTGTGAGAGACGCTCTCAGAGACACTGAAAGACTCTGAGAGACTGGAGAGAGACTGAAAATTTTTGTCTAGAGTATGGTAATTAACACAATTACACAATTATATTTAAACTTTCACAAAGTTCTACTTAAAACGATAATTGTTTGGCTACATTGTACCTTCTTCATGTTTCGTTGAATATTACATTGGATATTTCATAGAATTTGTAGCTTATACATTAATTAATAATTAGTTTTTGTATGATATATTACCTAATGAAATTCGAGAAAAAATAATAATTAAGATACGCTTCTTAATTTAGATTAATGTGTAATTTGTAACCTTCTGAAACTCTATCGATTTGTGTTACTTTTTCTATTTCTCGATAAAACAAAAGCTCAAATAACTGCGTTCACAGAACAAGAAATTATAGGCGTTTTTAGTTCGTTTTTCCTTAACTGATATTGTTTTTAATTAAATGGTTTTATGGCTTGCTCTTCGAAAATTTCGTTATTTGAGTTTTAATATGCCGGCGGCATCGTACTTTTTGTGACGATTTAAGCGTGGAATGAAAGAAGTTTCCGTAAAAATTAACCTCCTTTTCTTCTGTTTGGCATAAATAACTTTTCTTAATTTTATTTCAGAAATTCATTTGCCTTCTGGTTATTTCATGTACTTTTCAAATCTCCGTCTAGACTCTAAATAATGCTAATTTAATTAAAAGCTTTTTGTTTGAAAAAAACATTTTAGTTATAAAAAAAAAGAGAAAATAAACTTAAGGGTGTATAAATCCATTTGACTTCAAATACACCTTAAAATAAAAAGGGTAGATATATAATGGCTTTACAAGGGCAGAAGTATTTTATCTTTTGAAGTTCGAGGTGAAATATTGCACTATTTTAACAGAAAAAAGAATTATTAGACCAGATTATATTTGTAGATATGTTAACGTCAAACCTTTTGTAAAATCCTGTTACCTACTGTAAAATATCCTTATCGTTCCTGTTTATTCAGCACCCATGGGGGTATTACTTATAGGAAATGTGCGTACGGTAAATAAAACCTAGACAGGAGGGTAGCTTAGGAACTTAAAAATCTCATCCATTTTTTACTATAAGAAATGAGGCGATGGAGAAGAAAAATTGACTTGACTGGCTTTATAGAACATAAAAGATCTTATAAAATAGTTCGGGTTTCAGTTCAATTTTTTAATATCAAAGCAATATTGTAGTTAAAACTGCTTTATTTATTTAAAAACTTAGCCAACGTTTCGCCCAGGTTGTTGGACTTTTTCAAAGATAGCCTTTTCAGTTAAAAATATAATGCTGATGGTATATTATTATTTAATAAGATCAATAAAATGATGATTTTTTTAAGTATAATTAAAACTCTAAAACTAACTATACTGTAGTTTTAAATAAATAATGCCCAACAACGCTGCTTTGATTTAAAAAAAACTGCAAAATTATTAGCTGAGATAATATAAAACCCCATTTGGTCGACCAAAGTCAAAATAATTTATTTCTTTTATATAATTAGGCGACAATTAAGCATGATATGTTTAAATACGTTAACTTACTGAATAGTCCAATTAAAAACTGTAGTAAGCGGACAGGAAGTTGCAAAGATTGTATATATTTCACAGTCACATGACCTTTAATATTTTTTTGTTAAATGCCGTATTATGGGTACGTTTGATGGTTGAAGGAGCTATGCTAAGGTAGATTGAACCGAATATTATCTGGCAATTATTCTCCAAGTTGCTTTCTAAGTTGCAACAGACTTCTAATTGCTACCTAGGGGTACCAATTACTTGGTTCAAGATAAGTTATTGCACCAGTTTTGTAAGCTCAGGGAGGCGCCGAGTCGTACGTGTAACAAGTAATAAGGAACCACCGTCGTGTCGTACTTTATACCTAAACTACAATCTGCTCTTGTGGTTTTGTACAGGGTGGTTTCTAGTAAATTTGCCTAATTATTATCACGAGTAACTTTCAGGTCATGTAATATTTTACATTTATCCACAAAAATTCCGAACAAACTAGGTATAACACCTACCAAACATTAGTAGTTTGTAAAATAGTTTCCTACAGGCACGTAAACAATCTAGCGATGAAAAGCAAACAAATTTTATACATTTGTATATTTTAAGACAGCTGTTGTTACAGGGAAATGATTTCAGTAGTTTTTATGTTACATTCTGTACAATTTTCCTACATTACTATATAGTAATCTAAAGCTTGTTTGTTTTTATTGCCTTATAGAGCTAGGAAGATCAAAATTGGCAAAGTGAGCAATAAATTATATGAGAATGGACGTATCTCTTTTCTTGTTTCTACTTGGAACTGTAGTTATTTGCTGCGTTTTGAACACGCCCTTGTTAAGTTAGGAAATGCTTCATGAGTAGTACAGAAAAAGTAAAAAAGAGATAACCGAATAATAGTAAACGGTGCAGCGGTTAGAGGTTGCTTACGTATGCACAAGATCAGGGTCATTACTTTCCTAACTTTCTGAAAATGTTGAACTTTCTTTACAGTCCGATGCTGGTAACATGCTCAAATTATTCTTATCTGCATCTTTTTCTGTTACACATTAATTGGTGTAATATGTTATTTTTTTTATTAGTGTCCGCTGCAATTCCTACCTGACATCTCTTTTCCCTACAACGTCTGTCATGAGTAAAAGTAGGCGTTCTATCAGCAACCGCTCTAGTCTAGTTAATAAGTTGAATGAAGAACGTAAATGCGACAGTTTTATTGCGGACTATGCCAATTTTAAACGTCCCAACCATAGCAGGCTAAAGTCAGAGCAATTTTACAAAATCAACTTAGCTAAAAGAATCTACCTAAACGTATTCATTTTTTGTGAGAATTGGAACTTTAAGCGTCATAACGTGTAAACTACTCTTTTTGAAGAATCTACTGTTCAAGAAAATGTGCACCTAGAATCCCTCGAGAGAATGTGTTGAATTATCAATCACCCTGTATGAACAGGAGCCGGATAGTTTAAGCAGTTATTGTACTTTGAATATTCGCGAAATACACCTTCTGTTTTACACGAACCGCTAAATGGATCGATATATGCCGTGGAATATACATTTTCCAAGCTAACGAGATTAATTAAGCAATAAATTAAACTTGCCGTTCGAACAATCTTCTCCAAAAGTGTTTTGTTTGACCTGTCGGCTTTTATACAGCCACCTAGGTGTGATTTACTTCCCATTCATCTGTCGGAAATGCCTTTTAATCACTTTCCCAATTTATTGCTTGAAAATTTACAAAGTGTTGAAGTCTAAATAGATATGCGTAAAATATATAGCAATTATACGGCGCAGATTTAAACACGTTTTCCATTGAAATGTATCCTTTCAAAAGAACAGTTCGTGACCACAACGAGTAATACTAGTACCTACCTACCTACCTATACACATACTTCATTACCTGTGATTTTTGTTTCATTTGGTTTTTACAGAAAAGGAAATGGCTTTCTACAATAGATTTCTATAAAAGCAATTGTATTATGAAAGCCATAAAAGTTATGCCATTCCGAATGCTAATGATACGAGTCTAAAAATGCTTTTTGTTTTTTCACTTCAGACGTGAAAAATGATGGAATTATTCAGTTTAGTACAGGCAATTTTTCCGTATCTTTTGTTACATATTTAATAGATGATAAATAATAAATTAGGAATACTTTGGATATACTTTTAAAACTCACAAGTGCGTGATTGTAATATGTACTCTATTTTCCAAAAGAAAAAAAATACTTTATGTACTTATATTTATACATAGTATATACATTATTTCCTCTATCTCCTTTTTAATCTTACCTATCGTATTATCAAAACGATTCGTCTGGATTTTCTTTCTCCAAGGTGTAATCCTTTGAAAGAAAATCCAGATGAATAGTTTTGAACAACTTTTAATGTTTGTAAAACGACTTTCTCTCCGATTACTTAGTATTAATACAATGTAGCCCACAGGCGTTAGGAGTTGTATTCATTGTTTGACATTTAATTAAAGTCTAGATCCTCGAGAAATGTAATACGTCGGAATTGGTTTTGTATTTACTTTTCTCTTTTTACCATTAACAAGTTTTCCTTTATTAAATATTTTCTTCGCTGAGATTTATAATCGTATAACGTAGATAAGTAAGGTACCTATTTATTATATTTTTCGTTCATTTGAAAGACCTTCTAGTTAAAAAATACCACGTTTTAAAGTCTAATAGCATTTCTCCTTAATTAGCTTACTCCTTTGTTTTTTTTTAATTTTATTACTAGTAAATTACTTCCTGGAGATAATTATCTGCTGATGCTAATAACAATATAGGTTGGTATGTTTACCTTTACACGCTTTTTCATTTTGTTATGAAGATATTTTTCTTTTTAGATACTTGCAATTTTAATTATTTTATCATCATCATAAGATTACAGTCACCTCCACGCTTTTTTATCCTGAGCTAATATTTGCATTTCCCTAAAACTAGAACATCCCACATCTTTAACTATTTCTGAACAGGATTCTAATCTAGGTCTACCTCTATCCCTCTTAACGCCTGTTTTTGCCTCTATCTCTGACTAGAACTTCATGCCTGAATTACTTGATATACAATATAAAAAAATAGTAAAACATCATTGTAATTGTTTTATGTAGAATTTTAACCAACATCCTGAATAAAATCAATCTAGATAACTACCTGTCTGATGTTCCAACAGCGTTTGTTACTAATTAGTTTACAAACTAACAACAATTAATAACGTATTAACGGACAGGTAATGGCGAAGATAGAATTCTTTTCCTTTCATTACAAATGGATAGTACCCATCTATACTCTCTTAGCAGATAACAATAAATAATAATTAGTGAAGTAAAAAGTTAATCAAGTACCGGAACCTTTCGCATTCGTGTTCGAGATCGCATTTTTATCAACTCTACTTCCTAGATTCTTTCACCTTGATCTTGATTTAGTAAATGGTCAGAAGACATTGTTGATTGGAGAAAGTAAAAGCAATACACTTTCAAAATGCATTCAACAGACTAGAATTTGCCGGTATTAATACTCACATGCATATAAACGCGTAATTCTTCTGTTACTTTTCCTAGGAAGATTTATGATCATGGAATTTTATAACGGTTAGAAAACGACCAGGATGTCAGATTAAGAAATATTCGTTTTCAATCAAATTTCCAGCAGCAACGAAACATAATAACATGTACTTTCTACACCTTTTTATATATAGGGAAAATTTTGATTTAGATTCGCGTACTTTGTGACGTACTTTACGTTATTTAAGCTTTAAATAGTTCTGAAACCAAAAGGCTTCTAATTTATCAACCAATAAAACAGGGATGTCGAATGTAGACATATCTGGAACTCGGATTTTGGTCACCTTCAACAGGATATCTTACGTGCTATTAAATAAAATGAATCCTGATTTGATGCTAATTCTTAAACCTAGATCTAGTTCTCATTTTCAGTTAGTTACTTTAGTTAGTTTTAAAGATACTTATTGATAAAAATATAAAAAATAGCATTCATTAAAATCAATGTGCCTAAACAGAATTTTAATTTTTTTTTGTCCACCCCACAACAAATTTTATTCACTATTGGTCTGACTAATACTCAAGGCCGTCTTTAACCTATGGAAGGCTCTGACCACATAAGTTTAACGGCGCCCCTACGACTTTGACACAGGACTATTTTGTTAAAACAGCCAAAAAGAGTAGATAAGCGTAAAAATTGAAAATCTTTCTTGAAGCGCGTTGTACTTCTTAATTAATTTTCTATTATTTTCAATTTGAAGAAAGAGCGCTCCCCAACGCGGTTAGTTATCACCATGTTTAAAAAGATTCCCAATGCAGTCATATATTTTCAATTTTGTTCTGTAATTGTAGTTTGATTTCCTCAAAATATATATATTTATCGGTAGTAAATATTGGTTTTCGGTTCGTGGATGGATATGGCAGAAACTAGGGGGTCTCCGTCGATCGCAGGGCCCTGGGTCTTTGCCCAGAATTCCCAGTGGAGAAAAGGGAGTTGTCAATACCGGACTCGATATTAGCATCAAAATAACTTATAGGTATCTACTCTCAATTAAGAATGCTATTACTGGAGAAACAAAATCCGAGAAATATTACAGGACGATAATAAGGACAGCTTCTTTATGATACGCTCAAGTCTTACAAAAGAAAAATTTATTATGTTGCATGTACCTAGAGAGTGCGTGAGACATGCCGGTATTGTTAATTGGAAATAAACAGGTTTGAACCGCGAAGTACATGTCTTTTGTCTACGGAAAATGTACCGTGAAATTTCCGACGACAGTTGTGATACACTTACACTAATAATTACCTATAAGTCCACTTAAATGCGGAATTTTGCGTTCTCTAACCCAGATAAGTTCTATTAGACACGTTTAATTTATTTTAAAGAAGTAATCAGTTACCATTTGCATTAATTCAGCGGTAAATTTTGTTTTACGTAATGAGATTAGTTCACGCGGAAATACTGACACATTACGCACTCGACTACGTAAAATTAAATTTAAATATAGGTTTCCCAAGCCTGCTAGCTTATGGTAATATTATAAATATGATACGGAAATTATGGTCACATAGGAATTATACAAGAGCAAGAATTACGAACACCTGCGGTCGGTTCTTTCCTGGATATTTAATACAATGAAACATGGAGATTTGTTTAGTAGTTGTTTATAAAATAGTTGGTTAATACAATACAAAACAATAAATTCGGAGTTTTAGACTTTATCTCTTCAAACCCGATAGACGATTAATTACAAATTGACCGTTAGAATAAATACCGTTCTAAGATAGAAAAAGGGATGTAGACTGTTTGGCGATAAGGACGATGGTCAGGCAGGGAATGATCCTGAAGATTCCACAAAAATGAATTTATTTCTCTAAAGAAATTAATAATTAATCGATTTTTGTTTTTAAGTTACCTTTACGTACATTATAATATTTGTTGTTTTACATTACATAATTTACATTATCCGAAGATAATAAATAATGTGTGCTATTTTATCTAACCAAGATATGCCCGAAATTGAAAAAAATTAATACAGAACAAGACTTTCTCTTTCAACAAAAGTTACCAGCGAAAATGCTGACAAATTTGTAGGTCTAATTTCTCCAGGGTTCTGACTGATTTATATGTTCTCGATGTAAATAAAATCGAAGAGTGATTTAAATAAATTTATTCCCGATTTTTGTTTCAGCAGCCAGTTTCCTATTCGCCAGCTTCGGACGTTTCTCAGTTCAGATACTCGAGTCCTTTGGTGAAATATTCTAATCTCGGTGTCATTAGTCAAGTCACGGGAGATGAAGCCCTTAAATCATTACAGAAATCCTCTGTCGAAAGTTCGCAACAGTCGCGTTATCCAAGTCAATATTTGACACAATCTCAAGGCTATCGATCCGTACCGCAAGAAAGTTCTGAGAGCTACGCCTCCGCTACAGCTGCATCGGCCCAAGCAGCCCAACAACCCGCTCATTCTTCGTCGGCGCAACAGTTGCAGGGTGAAGAACCGACGACGTACGAAGCTTTGCTCAGCCAATATTACGCTCAACAACAGCAGCAACATCAGAAACAACAAGCCCAACAACACCAACTCCAACTTCAACAACAGCAACAATATCAGCAGTTCCAAGAATCGAGTGCGTTGCCCCAACAGTATTCTAAAGCTTCCCAGTCTAGTATTCCCGCGCATTTGTTACAACAAGGAAACCAAGTACGCTCGCAGTATCCAGCAGGACTTCCGGCAAGAGCAAAAGGCACTTCTGCATCCGGCGGTAAGTCACCCGGCTTCGCCGAACAGATTGCACAGTTCCTTGGCCATTTTACACTAGGAAGTCGGGGTAACTCTTATCCTTCTCCTCAAGCAGTTGCATCCGGTCCCCAGAAGTTCAACAACGAAGTGATTTCTTCCCAACAAAGACCGATTTCTTCAGACCAATTATCCAAACAGCAGCAGCAGTATTATTTGCAACAATCCGCTAGGCAAAAGCAGGCATATCCTGGCGCTATTCAAGCTCAACAACAACAGCAACAACAACAACCGCTTTATCAGTTTGTACCAGCGGGATACTCTGCAGGGCAACAGCAACTGCAATACTCCAAATATTCCCAGCAGGGCGCAGCAGCACAATCGCCTGAATCTCAGCAAGCCTATGCTGTAAGTCCCCAAGGAGGATATATCTTTGGTGGACATCCCAATTCTGTATACGCCACATCTCCACAAACTCAAGGAGCAGCATCATCTCAAGCAGCTTACACGGAAGGGCAGAGATCAGCAGCTGCTCAAGTAGTTTATTCCAACGTTGCGCCTCAATCTGAGTATTCTTCCTCACCTTCGCAAACTATACAATATGTCCCTGCACACAGAAGCGCGGCTGGAGCCTCAAGTCGCTCCCAACTGCAATCAGCAGCGTCTTCCCATTCCGCGTATGCTTAGCTCTGTAAGACTTGTTTTAAGACTATTATTTTAGCATAAGTATTAATAGGTTTATTTAGTTACCAATGTGTTAATTTTTTCGGAGGCTGACTGTACATACCTGAATATATAAATTTGTTAATTTTGTATGAATTTTCTAAATAAAATTGTAACCTTATATTAGCTGTCGTTTTAAAACCCTTAAAAATGTGATAAAAATACTCAATACTCTTTGTGGATTCTAAAGGAAAAAACATACAATTTTTAATAACGTTTTTGAATTTCTAAATTAACCGTTCCGAAATAAATAAAATCAAACAGATACATAATTTTAACTCACTGACACAATGTGTTTTGAAGGAAAATTACGTGATGATTTTGGTCGGAATGTACTTTATTACACCACAATATCAAACGTCGGCCTCAAGAAGATGGGATGACTTTTCCTTCTTTTTATTTAAAATAATTAAGAAAGAATTGCATTTGTATACTTAGTACAATCTGCAAGAAAATGATGTTCATCAATTGGCATGGAGTGAATTAATATTGAATTAATCAAAAATTAGCAATAACTATTGCGTCATTTAGTTAGGAGGGGTTGCAGGGATGTTTTGTTTTTTATTTTTAAAGAAAGAAGTGAACTGAATAGGAGATTTTCTGTGATCATTTGCGTGAACTGTTTTCCGGTTGAGTCATATCAAAGGGTGAAGACAACGAGTAGCTTCTTGTTCACTCATATTAAAGCCAGCAGATTTTTCTGTGTGTATTTTAAAAAGTAAAGTGTATATTAACAAACTACGAACACTTGACCAAGTTAAAATCAACATTCATCAAGAAATTGCAAACATTAATCCAGAAATGTGTAACAAAGTGATGGAAAATGTGATGAAACGAGTTCGCATTTTTTAACAAGCTGCAGGAGATCAATTAGCAGACTAACAATTGCTTAATATAAAATGCATGAAATTATTAATAAATTCAGTAGGTATTTGTTTACTTTAGATGCAAGTTTTAAAATGTATAGTACCTACCTACCTAGTATCATAAAGCCTAAACAATATTGTCGAGATGGATTAATAAATTGATGAAACTATTGTGTGTTTTCCACTGGAAAACTTAAATTATTAATTTTGGGTTTCGGTTTTTAATATAAGTACTTGTCAGCGAAGACTGAACGAAATATTACTCATTTTAATGCAGTGTTTTTATAAGTTTTCGAAATCGTAAAAGTGTGTATCTATTTAATAACAAACCCTATAAACTAAAATCTTCGGGATTAGGGATCGGACATAAAACGAAGTAACTTTTAATATGTCGATGTCGATTAAATTTTCGATAGATAATGTTGTTTTCTAGTAATAAATTCTTCATCATAAATAATTATGGTCTAAATCTTAAGCAAATAGAAGACATGTGAGCCATTTTCAGAAGAAATGTAAAACTGAAAACTCTTTACTGAATCAAAATTGATTTAAATACAAGTTACAAAATTCCTGTTTCTCCTAAAGCATGCAGCAAGGGTGCGGCGATTTTGCATTTAATGTTCAGTATTATTTTTCGCAAACGATATACTTGTTAGAAGTGAAATGCATATTACATATAAATCACTTACAACTTTCATGCAACATGCAAACGGGAAAGTTCTAACTTCCTACCTTTCTGTAGTTGTCTTGCAGGATTCTAGTTTCATTTCTTCTTTTTAATACATTTATAGAGTACCATTACGTTACACATAACATAATACAATACAGACTAAAGTTCCGATAATACTGACCGACTGGAAATCAAGTAAAAATATGCTTTCGTTGTTGCTTTAAAAGACAAAGGCAAATTCCTCCTCAAAAGCTTTACTGTCATATTACCAATAATGTCGTCAACCAAGAATTGAACGAAATATTTTTCGACATCGTGTATTTATTACTTTTATTATATTGCGAATTAATAAAATGTATTTGGGAGTAAATAAATACAACAATAAAGTGTTTTCAAGTTAACACTCTTGTAAGTACAATGTGGGTTTAGGAATAACAGCCACGTTCAATTTATTTGTTTCGATTTGTTCAATCTTAGTATGACCTTATAGTATGATAAGGTTTATTAAGTCGTTTTTATTATTGCCATAATCGCATATATATATAAATACACATATACTTGGAAAGATGATATTAGACTGTTGAACACGTCATGTTTGTTTAATCTCACGTCAGCAAAAAAAAGGAACGCAAAATTCAAGAAGTGTATTAGACACAGTTTTGTTAAGGGTTGTTTAAAACATATAATTTATAATTTAAATTTTTTGTACAAATCAGCCGTTTTGATCATATGTTTTTTTTATATAGATACAACCGGATGAAAGTTTTCAGTTATTGTAAACACATGTAAATGCGATACTTCTGTTTAAAAAATTGTAATTCAATACCTTTTCAAGAACAGCGAAAGTTGTGTTATAAATATGAAACCATCTTATAAATAAACTTAAAAAATACACTCTGCAAATTCTATACCTACCTACAAGCCTACAATTGCATTAACAATGAGTACACATTATGCATGCGATTAGGTACTTACCTACATTTTTAGTTACACATTTTAAATGTAATTAACACCTTTTTGTTGCAACTATTATTTAAACTATGAGGAATTTCAAAAATATTGTTTTATAGGTACCTATTACTTATTTTTTCCATTTTAGTTGGTAGGTAGGTTTTAGAAATTGATTAATAAAAGTAAGTCAAAGTTATCAAAATTAGAACGCGCGTTATGATCAAATTGAGAATTTTTATTGATATTTGAGAGATCGATATATTAATTACGTATTCGAAGGAAAAGTGTTTTTAGATCTACGAAATAGATTAGTACTTCTTATAATGATAATAATTGTTAGTCTTGGTAAATATTTTGTAAAAGTTTAATAAACTCACCAACTGAAATATCGTGTGTCCTTTTCGTAATACAATTTTGAAAATAACTTCTTCCTTACAAGTATGCCAATTTATCCGTTTATTAGATATAAAATTTAGGGTAAGTGTGTCATGAATTGTTGATGAAACAGCATCTAGAAAAAAGTAAAGAAGCTTGAGGGTAAAGAAAAAAATTATATCAGACTTGAGAACAGTTTAAATCGTCTTTAAAAAGTAAACATACAAAAGAGAATAAAATTAAAGTGGTCTCTAAATGTAAAAAATACTGCAAGTTATAGTAAGAGAAATGCTGAATAGAATTGATGTTATTTAGCCTTAGTTTTGTTTAATGCAGTCCTAAACATGTACGAAACACGTTAGCAAATTTCTTAGATGAATCTTCAACTTGGTGCCGTTCACAATTAATCCAAATTTATTAAATCTTATCCATGTTTTTGAGTTTTCTGCGCGTTTTAATAAGGTACGTGTGAACCGTGTGACCAATCCTTCCGCACTCTTTTTAATGACGTAGATCATTTTCGATTTTTGGGAAATTATTCTGTTATTTCTAATAAATAAAAAAGGCAAACTGATAAATTACCTTTATTTTAACATTCACACTCTTAAGCTGATGCCATGAAGGTTTTTTTGCATGTACCTAACAGTTTCAAGGATCATTAGGTATTTTAGTTCTAGGCGTCAACATGCAATAAGAATTTTATTTACACAATGAAGGGCGATAGAGGGAGAGAGTGATAAAAAGAGAATTTTCCCTTGAGCTGATTTAAAGGGCAGAACTATAAAACAGGGCTCGGGTATGCAAATGAAAATATTCCATTTCTTAGGATATTATTTCCATTTCATACAAATTCTATAGTTCTGCACCAATTCATACGTGAAATCTATCTACACATTATGTAATATTACGTATGTATATATTTACCGTGTATATATACTCTTATGTACAAAAATTTACAAAACACAATTGCGGAAAGGATTCCGCCAATTCAATGATGCTAACCTATGTACTAATTATTTAAATTACGTCTCTCTTGTCTTTTCTTTTTACACGACTGCTTAACGCCATTAAGCTATCATTATTATTACTAATAGATACATTTAAGTACATTTTTCTAGATAAGTAGAATCACATTTTAGTTATTATCATCATTAAAAGTACCTGGAATTCATCCCTCTGTTGATTGTAACATTCTATCTGACTACACACGATGTAGAGGTAATTTAGAATGACATGAACCTTTGCCTTTGGTTGCCCAATGACAAAACTACTTCATCAGTTGATTTCTACTTTTTCACAAAGAGTCAACAATTTCCAAATGTACAATTGATAAGACCGAAGCTTCATGTCCTTCTAGTTACAACCTTATCGCATATAAGATAGAGGAAGTAGATTAGGGCAAGTAATTTACGGAATATGATGTGATGTAAATTAAGAAACTACATTCGCATATAGCACTGATAAAGTCCACAAATTTGATTAGTTTGCATTTGCATTACTCATTAAAAATATAATTTTTTTATTTATAAACAGAGGTGTTATCGGATATCCCATGAGGACCCTCGACTTCTTGCTTTTATCTATGTAAATCTACTGGATAATATTTTCTAGGTCACCGTATATTACCCATTATAACTTTGATTAATTTTCCTTTTGAGCGTACTTCTAATCAATGTAAAATTGCTCCAACATCTAATAAATTTTATGTTGTTTTTATGTAATTTCAAAGTAAAGTTTAGCGATATTTTCTTTCACTTTGAAATTAAGTAGAAAACTGTCGGTAATGAATGTTTTGAGTTAAAATTAATTCCAGGAACCTTCTTTGGAAGCGAAAAATTTAATAAGCTCGATACTCGACTAACTATACAACAGGAAATTAGTATTTAATTAATGAAGATCACAGTTTTAATATGAAGCGATTTGTCAGTAGGTTATGATTACGCATTATCATACCTTTTGCAATTATATGTATAGGTACTTACTCTTATCTCATTTTTGTAATTATATATTTACTTGTATAAATAGCAGATTTTAATGAGTAGTTTGAACGGGTTGTAATGCGTAGATTTCTTAAAAAATTGTTTATTATGTAATTTATTTGGCAACGATTTGTTTTTTGTTGCTAGCTCAGATTGATATGTTTTTGCGAAATTCGGATGTAGGCTTTAAAACGGATCAATTTCGTATTTAGCTCATTAATTGATTAAATTATTAAAGACAAAATCAGCAAATTTTAGATACTCAGTATGCATATAAAAAAGTATTAAATATATGTATAATACATAGTTAAAAAAAGTTTTTAAATAATTTTTTCCGTTATTTATTCCTAAAAATTAAAAAAGAAACTTCAAAACTTACTTGAAATACAGATAATTACTGAGCTAAAATACTAATTGATGTTGAATATACACTTCAACAAAACAAATTGCACTTTTTATATCGATTACAGAATAGGCTAAAAATTGAAAATTTTGACAATTAAATTAGAATTAAAACTATTCCCAAAAAAAAATTAAGTATGTATTTATACGATGATAAGTATTATTATTGGATTAAAAGAAGTACGAAGAAAACATTTTCTTAAGGAAAATAAAAACTTTTTGTGACTGAATATTTCCGAAAAGAAAAAGTTTTCTTATCATCACATATACCTAGTGCAACCTTTTACTTTTGTTTTATGATGCTCTTTACTGTTCGATTGAAATGGTTTCCCAAAAATAAAGACATTTACAACAAATCTTTTGGCCTATTCTCAGGGACTCATCTGCATGATTTTTTTGAACGCTTTCCTAAATTCCGGATTAAAAATAGTATAAATAACAGGATTAACAAAACTATTAATGTAACCTAACCATGTCGTTAGCAGGAATGCCGCTACCCCTGGCTGACATGTCAGTTGTAGTTTGCTGCACATTGCGTCCATTATGTTGCATGTGAAGAATGGTACCCAGCAGAACAGAAATACTCCTGGAAAGAAACAAAGGGGAGCTGTAAAGGATAATTCTGAGCTTCTGGTAAATTATTATAGTCATCATTATCATTTAATTTAGAAATTCGAATAAGGTTGTTAAAGCTGTATGTTTGGAGCGCGGCGCTGTACGGGTGCGAAACATAGACGGTGGGTGCGGCGGAAAAGAAAAGGTTAGAAGCGTTCGAAATGTGGTGTTACANGAGGAGAGAGAAGGTTAGATATGAGGAGTTATTAGAAAGAATAGGAGAACAAGGACTCTACGGAAGTCAATAAGAAATAGTCGAGATAGGTTGGTAAGATCAGGCATGAAGGGCTAGTCAGAGGCATGTTAAAAGGAGTTAAAAGGAGTAGAGGTCAACCTCGATTAGATTACTGTTCGCAAATAGTTAAACATGTGGGATGTTCTAGTTTTAGGAAAATGCGAAAATTAACTAGGGATAGGAAATAGTAAAAGTGCGTGTCCAACCAGTCTTTGGACGGACGACCTTATGATTTAGAATTTCTTCATTGTCAATCTTTTTATAGATATTGTATGAAATTATAAAAATAAAAAATAAACACTTTTTTCATACTATTAAACAAAAAATGAAAAGTCAATCAATAATAATATAATTTCTCTATGCTCATAAAATTAACAGTCTTGTGTATTTGGTCTTGATTTTAGTATTCGTCTTGTTCGATAGGTCTTGGTTTTAGTCTTGGTCTTGTTCGTTCGGTCTTGGTCTTAATCTTGCTAGTATAAATTCAAGACCAACACTGCAAGACTAAGATCAATTTTACTCATCACTATTAAATACATATTTATGTTGATTCAGAAAAAAATGCCGGGTTAAATGAACCACCCTAATGTATCGAACTGATTAGTCTATGTGAAATTATTTCAACAAGATTAGTGAAAAGTCTATGGAAACAAATTAACAAAGTCAATTAATTTTTACATTCCAAAAAACTCGTTACTTTACAAACTACATCGCCGGTTTCATTGGTTATCACTATCGAAGTGTTAAATTGCGGATTGATTTTGTCTTTTCGTGGTATTGAAGTGTTAAATTAAGTGGTTTGGTTCTATCGTCACGCAAAGGTATTATTTCCCACCCTATTTGGACTTTACCAATTAAAATAGATTAGCAAACTGTTCCCTAATACATATCCATTTAAGCACATTCTAAAGACATTTATACTATTGCTTCGAACACAATTTAGCTATCTCCACAAGCTGCATTATTCTCATGGCTAGATTGAAATTTAATTTCTTTTAAAATCATCCCGTGCGTATAATATTTCCGAAGGTTGAAAGAGAATTTGTGGCACTTCGGTTAGTCCTTTTTAAATTTTGAACCAAAATGTTAAGTAAAGTGTCATATTCTTGAAGATGGTAACAAAAGGGGATGGAAAAGATATCAAATATTTTCAGCTCCTAAATTCCGGATGTCAGGGTGAAAAGGTGCCTATTGGTAGCAGTGAACTGTAAAAATTAGCATTCAATAGATTTACAGAATTTTTTACGAACATTTGCACATTTTTAGGTGAATGGATTTTGAACGGGTGAGGTAGGAAATCCGTAGCTATTCGATCCGAATTGTGGTTTTGTGTGTATTTATATTCAGCTTTTATAACACCTTCTTGATCTACCTATGTTTACGATTTCGATTTTGATAAAAGAATATATTGGTGTAAGCGTTCACCACATTCTTCTTTTTTTGCATACGTATCCCTCAAAATTGTTAGTAAGTAAATGCGACCGTTATTTGAATACGTGGGATTGTGGATTCTGTTTTCTTATTTTGGAAAATAAAGCTCTAAAGTATACGAAGAAATGATTTGGAATAGAAACCACTGAAAATTTGAAATAAGCAGTATACTGTTATAGGCCCAAATACGCTAATAATAAAATATAATTACTATTTTGTTTATTATTAACAGTGGCGTAGAGTGGGAGAGGGGGCAAAGGAGCCATGGGCCTCGGGCGGCGCAAAAGTGGGGGCGGCAAAAATACCTTGGCTTAATCCATGAAACTTTTAACCTTCGTTTTACTACTTTATTAAGGGCGATATTTTGAAAACCTATTTTATAGCGTATGATGCCGTTGCGTAAGAAACCACTGTGTAAAATTTGAATCTTTCAGAATAAATATATCAAACTTTGAAGCCTATTTACACCACCTTAGGGGTTGAATTTTAAAATTTTTTTTTATTAATGTTTGTCTACATTATATAGAGAATTTCCGTGCAAAATTTTAAGTCTCTAGACCCAGAGATTTGGGATGTGCATTGACATATTGGTCAGTCTGTATTCATAAGTAGATATAAGAAATTCAATTAATGTTGGTTTATTAAATAAATTCTTCTTTACCCCTATCTTGGTTTTGATTTTGTAAAGTATTTTATTGTGCACTTAAAACAAAAAGTCACTTAGATTTTAATCTAACGTAAATGTAGAATCATTGTCAATTATTCTAGGATAGAACTGTTATTCGGTTTACTCGATATGCAAATTTGTATGCTTTCTTGGCAAAACTTCGGGAAACTGCCACGACAATATAATTATATGTACCGATTTATTTGTTTACCTGCAATGCGGTTGTAAAGTGATTTGTGAATGTTTCTGATCCAAGTTAAATTCATTGTTATCGGCGCCTCTTTTTTCTT